TCACTACTGTTCTGGTTTGGGTTTCCCCCCCCCCCCTCTTCTGTGAGGAGAGGAACAGAAGACTTTTTGCTGTTGTTTTTGCTTTTCCTTTCACTCTCTGTTTTTTTTCTTTCTCGTTTGGATTTTCCCTTCACTCCCCCAAGTCCTCATTTTCCTTTTGCTGTTTCAGCTGCTGTCCTAGTGATGAGTACAGATCCTCCTGATTGTTGTACTCTACAGCTCCTAGAGCTACATTTATTTATATTTGCTCGTGCAACCAAGATGACAAAAATAGCCTAGGGGCCATGGAAATAGTGAGGGAGGGGAGCATAATGCATTGTGTCTTACTTTCATGGATTGCCAAAAGGTGGAAACCCTGTTGATTGTAATTGACTTTTCCCATATCTCAAAGTTAGGCTCACTAAGCTGATCTGGAGGCCCAGGAAAGAACACACTCCATTGAGTAGAATTGCCACCTTTTAGAAAGAAAAAAAAAAAAAGAAATCTGCAAGAAAAGAAATGGAGATAAGAGAAAAAGATGAAAGTGAGTGAGAGGAGGGAGAAGAAAGATTAACAAAATGAAGGGAAAAAAGCCAACAGCAGCAAGAATAAAAACAGAAGAACTGTCAGAGAAGAAACTGCATCTAATTTAGTGTCCTGACTTGGAATGTTATTGTACTATGTGTGGGAGAGAGGACTGTAAACATCTCTAATTACCCAGTGAGAGGTCTCACCCTGATGTTGAAAAATACACTATTTATTTGATCGCCAAAACTGAGCTCCTATATCCTTTTCAGCCCAGCTTCATAACGAGATCTGTAGTAATGCTGTGAGCCCTATGAATACACAATATTTCTGGGGCTGGTCTCAGGCTTCTGCACTGCAGCTTGGAAGAGCAAAGGTTTTTGCATGGGAGAGCCAAACACACAGGATGCAGCTGGAAGGTGTGTGACAGGTGAAGTGAGTGATGCACAATGAAGTGAGGGATGCACAATGACAAAGGGTCCTGCCATCTTCTGCTGTGAAACGAGCTTTGACATTGCACAATGTAGTTTGAGCAGTGCCTGATTCTTTGAGGCAGTCTCTGTCATGGGATCACCAGTGAGTGGAGGTACAGATCTCCAAATGCAGGGCTGTGATCCCTGCTCCTTTTCCTGGCATGGAGAGATGAAGACTGGTGTACACAGTTTGCTGGCCCTGAGATGTTATAATGCTGACTGGTCTTCACCCCTTCTGCTTAGCGCTGTCTTGTCTATAGCAGATTTGTCCAGGGGATAAATATTTGGTGCAATGTGAAGCTGCATCAAGCAGTGAGAAAACAGGCAGGGTGGCTGATTGCTGCACAAGCTTGTTCCCAGGCTGTCCTTTATGTATCCTATATTCTCCTTTATTTAACAAGAGGCATGTGTCTGTAGGAGACCAAAGCTGAGGTCATGGTTTTCTGCACAACTTTATCATGGAGACGGTGGTGTTATATAGGATGGTGCCCTCAGATGTCTGCAAACTGACTGATGTCACTGTCCCATTGATTATAATGTCCCAAATAAGGACTTTGAGGTTTTTAAGTGTTTGTCCAAAGCACTGGCAAAGGTTATCCAGGGTGCTACAATAAAGGTGTAACTTTTCAGGATTCAGTCAAAATAACTAGTGACCCAAATGTCTCATGCTGTCACCCAGACATCAGTAAATGGTAGCATAATGCCATGAGTGTGCAGGGATTGTCTGTGCTTTCCCCTCTAGACTACATAGTTTTCATTCTGTTTCCAAAATAGCTGTGACATTTGGGCTTGTAAACAGAGCTCCAACCGAAGATGCTCATGTTTGTAATTTAGTTGTACTTCTATCTCTTTCTCTTCTGCTTCCCTTTCATCACCACTTCTGCCTCTGCTCTT